TGGTTTCTCAGGTGGCGCGAGCTGGATTTTGCACCCATCCAAAGCATGGCGCAGCGCGTGGCGCGGACTTCTTCTTTCTCGCGGCTTAAGCGCGCACCTTGCGCCTGGCGGAGGAATCTCGGCTGAAGTGTGTTGTTTTCTATGGCTTCCTAGCCTCGAACCCTGCTTGCAACCCGCAACTCGGGTGGGTTGCCGCGAAGGAGCAAAAGGCCCAAAAGGCCGTTCCAGTTCCGAAAGGCGGGTGCAAAATTCAATCAGGGACTTTTTGGACATTGTTTGGTGGTGATTTAAGTCTACCAGCCACTTTTAAGTGGGTTCCCTATTTAAATTCAGGTCTTTCCGGTCTCTCTGGGCCCAAAACGCTCGAAAACACGCAACAGTCCTTTTTAGGACTTTGCGGCGCCGCGCTGGCTGGCTGGTTCTCTGTAAGGCGCTTCCTTGGTGCTTTGCAAATGAACCCATCCCTTTGACACCAGAAATGGTTTCATCTTTAGCCCACTGGGCAGCCAACATTCAGGTTCTGATTGTGGATGGGCGAAATCCATTTCGCGCCACTTTGAAACAACGCTTGAGATCATAACGTTTGTTGGTATTTACATTGGGGGAATCGAGTCAGCCTCTGAACGGCTGTCCGGTTTTTGGATTTCGCGTCACCATCCACGCGTTCACAGACGTTTCATACCCCCCAAAACAGAAACAATTTGTGCGGTGTCCACAGTAGGTTCAGGGAGGTTTCCTACCCCCAAAAATAGAAATAAAAATACTAGTGGTGGTAATATAGATTATTAAAATAACTTAATACTACTAATAATAACACTAATAATAGTAAAGAATACGAATAGTACATAATGATAATCAAAAAAGATATTAATAATAATAATGATAATAATACTACTAATAACAATAGGTAGTAACAATAATGATAAGTAATAAATTTAATAAGAATAATAACTAGTAATAATAATACAAAACAAAAATAATCATACTAACAATGCTTAATAATGATACTAACTAATATTTAGCATACTAATTAATAATAATAATCATCATAATGATAATAATGATAATAATGATAATAATGATGGTAATAATAACACTAATACTACTAAAAATAACAATTAATAAAACAAAATAGAACAACAGTAAAAATAATGATACATTGCAAGTACATAGAAGGATTCGGGATGCGGAATGTGGGATGTGGGAGATGTGGGAATTCACTGTTGATCCGAAAGGGCGGATCGGCGTGAGCTCCAGCGTAAATTTCCGACGGGCACGGGCAGGCAGAACTCAAGGAGGGCTCAGAAGCTAAGTCCCCAGGCCCTCGCGCGCCACAAGCGCGCGGCGCGGAGCTTGCCGTTTATAGCTGAGGGCCGCGCCCGATCGTCGGTTTGGGGCCGCTTGCGCGCGGTCCTGCGCGCAAAGAGGGACGTGGAAGCACCGCCGAGATGTGTGTTTTTCTGAGGCGCCCGCGGCCACTCCGTAGCTCGCGCTGTTGGCCCCTTGGCACGGCACCCGCGAGCGACAACGCGAGGCAGAAAACTGGCGAGCTCGGCGCAAGTCAGCTGTGCCTGCGCGGCAATAGACACGTCGAGCGCTCAAGCAAGCCTGCGCCCTGAGGCTGCGGCCGGGCGCTTGCGGAACCGACCACGCGAGGCCCGCTCGCGCGGGCGTCGCGCGCCCAAGCCCTGAAGAGAAGCACTCAAGAGCTGAAGTTTCCAGCAAAGGGAGCGCGGCGCGCTGCTGACGGGCCTTGCCACTCTCTTTTTTTCCTCCTTCTCCCTCTCTATCTCTATATCTCTCTATCCCTCTATCTCTCTATCTCTCTATCTCACTCTCTCTCTCTCTCTCTCCCTCACTACATCTCTATATCTTTCTCTCTTTCTCTTGTTTTCTCTCTCTCTCTCTCTCTCTCTCTCGTGCGATACTTAGAACGACCAGGGCGCTGGCAGCCCACTTCCTCTTGGCCTGAAGGAGCGAGCGCCGGCTCTTTTTCCCGGAAGAGAACGCAAAAAAAAAGAGGGCTGCGCCGCTTGCCCGCTGCCTCCTCCGCGGAGGAGAAGCACAACCTGAATGGAAGCCCGTTACCTCGAGCACGCGACAGCGCGCCTCACCACGTGTCCGGCGCTTGCGCATCCGCCTTCCGAGTTGACAGGCTGAAGCTAGTGAGGGGGCCCGGCGCTGCCCGCCCCGCCTCTGGGCCAACGGCTCCAACATTTGCACCTGCCAGGCAGCAGAACACAACGCTGCACCGCGCGCGACGCCGCCTGGGCCCACAGGGATAAGAACAGCAGCGGTGCCAGGGCGAGCATCGTGGCGGTCGAGCAGCGGCTTAAAGTTCGGCTGAATTCTGAAAGTTCGTTCATTTGAAACTCGTTGCGTTCCGAAATCGTGCCAGACTCGTGTTTTTATCTCTCCGGGCTTTGCAAATGTCGCGCATCCATGTGTCTTCGCAGGCTTTGCTATTTGAGTTGCTGGGCCGAAGCTCACGATTAGCAATTCTGGCCCTCAGTCTGCGCGCGCAGTCGATGTCTTGGTTTGTTCAACATTCAATTCGTAGAGCGCTAAACGGCGATAAGATTTCTGTTTTGTCCACAATCTTCTTCCCTCGTTGCCATTGGTTCTTGCCCAAAACTCTTGCTGCTCTAACCTAAAACGAGTTCAGCTGAACGTTTGGGACGCGAAAATCCGGCGGCGAATCAAAAGTGCTACTGGCCATCAGTGTTTTTCAATCGATCGAGAAGTCTTGGCAGAGGCGGTTCTGCATAAACACCTGTTTTGACATTTTGGGTCCAAACGGGCTTGAAACCCCGGACAACCCCTCGGACAACCCTCCGGGACAGCTTTGGGGGAACAAAAATCGGCGGGACAACTCCCCGGACAACTTCCGGACAGCTTTGAGGGCTCAAAAGCCCGGGACAAACCCTCAATACCACTCAATACCACTCGGAAACCTCTCGCGAATCACTCGGAGGGAAGTATTCTCGCGGGAGGGGGGGTTTGCAGCATAAATCTCGGCAAAGTGCGCGGACAACCCTCCGGACAACCCCCCGGGCAACCTGCTGTTTGTCCAGCAGTCTGTCCCGCACTTTGTCCAGCACCTTGTCCCGCACTTTGTCCCTCACTCTGTCCCGCATATCGAGGGGGGTGTTTATGCAGAAGGGCATTCGTCAAGAGAAGTAATCTTTTTGAGGTTGCGTGCTGCGCTGTTCAAGAACACAGTGTTGAATACTTTAAAACAACGCGAAACGCCGCTGTCTGACAAGATCGATATACAGGCACGAGCGGCGATGAAAACAGTAGCACATCATGCAACGCTATTCGCTCTCATACTCTTTTGGGTCAAAGGTGATAGAAATTCAACAGTTTTATCATAAAAAATAATTATTAAAGAATAATCAATAATGATAAAAATAGTTAATAGTAATAGTAATGACAATACTAATAATAATACTAATAATAATACTACTAATCATGATAATAGGTAATAATAATAATATTAATAATATTTAATAGTGATAACAATAACAATGATTAATAATAATAATACTACAATAACACTAAAACTAATGATACTAAAAATGAATAATAATAATACCAATAATAATAATGATGCTACCAATAATGATACTAATGAGAATAGTTAATAATAATCCTAATACTAATGATAATAGTATTTTTGTTCAACAAAAAACAACACAATTTGGCCTGGATTGTGAATCTCCAAGGACAAAGGCCTCCATGTACCGCAAGAAGTCCCAGGTGGCCTCAGTCGAAGCCGTGCTGGGTGGGTTTACCCCACTCAAGATTGCCCCGAGGAGTTTGACTGGTGGAACCAAACTCCAGCGATGTCCGGTGGGAAAGCCATATAGGACATGGGAGCCTTCAACCTTCTGCGGAGGGTGACATCGGAAATGCCCATGACATCGACTCTGCACGAAATGAAACCATAGAGTTGGACCCAAAATTTGATGGGTATTTATGGTTGGGGCCTCGACTCATTTAATGAGTTTCTGAGCGGTGTCTGGGATTTCGCGTCACCATCCTTATGAGACACCGGGGCAGAACGAGGCGCAGTCTGGGGTCTTGGATCAACTGACAGGGCTTTTGTGGTGGACCAAATCGGTAGTTCAGCCAGCACCTCTTGTTTTGGTTGTTACAGGGAAACCAACAGGAGGTTCAAAATTCGTTTTCTTTTTTTTGGGGGGGCACCGGTGTCCCCAATCCAAATCAACCAGAGGTTCTGCATAGACCCGGGGGGTTGGTTTTTTTTCGGCTGCCAGCTCTTGCTTTCATTTGCTATGGTACCTACTTGACAAAAGTGAAACAACTCTTGGACCTTGTGAAATCGAAAAGGGACGGAGCTGGAGCCGCCAAGTCGACAGGACTCTCGAGTGCCAACAGGAGAAAAAAGAGTGGCCTGGTTTTCGTATGGTGAACTCGGGTGTTTCTTATGCGTGGACTTTGTTTCGCTTATCCAGTTTCTAACCCAAGAAAAGGTATCCGAGCAAATCATGCTGTGGGACCGAATTTGGTATGATCAATAAGGACACTTAGAACGGAATGCGCTTGGCCGTCCGGAAGGCATCGGCAAACTGCTTGGTCTGCTCACCTTTTCACTTTCTGAGTAGATTGGTCAGAACAAGAAAGCGGACTTAGCTTGCGGTTAACCCCAGTGACCCTGGGAAGAAGGGCGCGCTTTGCAGGATTGATGATTCTTAGAGGGAACCCACCAACCAAGAAGGGAACAAGTTTGAACTAAACAACGAGAAGGATCTTCCCTAAAAGTGGCTGAAGCCTCGAAACCGGTCGGAAGTGAGCTCTCCAGAGCAGCATTGGAGTGAACCTGCCTGGCCTTTCGTTTGTTTTCAAGCGGTTCAAAAAAACATTCATACAGTGGATGGACGAAATCCTGCACCACTGACTCTCCTGTACATACCAACATACAACGGTTTCCCATGGTTTCAAACTGGCAAGCCGCGCTGAAACGTTCTCTCCCCTCACGCATCGCGCCATCGCGCCTGGGACGAGCTGCTGCACTGCATCATGTACCTGGCTGCAGTACTCACTTGAGCGGCATTGGCCCACAAGTGCCTTGACCGGCTAACTTTCGTTTGCCAACATCCACCTTCCAAATGGAAGGGTCCAAACTTTGATCGCAACCCCCGAATTGCAGTAACCCATTTCCACCTTCCAAAAGGTACCGCTTTTTTTGATGGAGGCCCCCCAGATTGCAGTAAACCCAATGTCTCTATCTCAAAGGGTCCCAAATTTGATCGTTTCCCAAGTGCTGAACCCATCTCCACTTCTCTGCCCGTCTGAAAGGTGCTCTGGGGCTTTGAGTCGACCTTGGACCAGAAACGGCCAGCAACCGTAACAGCTACTGGGCTGCCGATTTTTTCAGATACCCTGAAAGTGTTTAACTTAACTTGTGGGTCAAATGAGGAAACTACTACAACACCAACCAAATAGAGAGATCTGAAAAGCTAAGGAACCGGATTGCCGGGAGCCACCCAGTCATTCGAACCGGAAGTTCGACATGGATATGACAAAACTTGGGACAGGTCGGATTTTTGGTCGATGTCTCTTTGAGGTGAAACGGTAACTCCCAAACCAACACATCCAGGTTTGGGACCCGGGACCCGACTGCTTCGGTCTCACTGGTGAGGGTGAAGCAAGACGGCCAGGTTTGAAGCCCCGCGTCTCTAAAACTTGCCCAATCTGAGGTGAAACCAACTGGCCAAACTCAAAATTTGGAAGGGCCACGTGTCCTTTCTGACCCCAGAACCCATATATCAAAACGGGCGCCGCGAAATAATAATAATATAAAACTAGACCACGGTTGGCCCGAAAGCAGAACATCGCAAGCGAGGTCGGCCCAACGCTGCATCCCTACACGAAGCATTTGTGAAGCAAGCGCGAGACAGCACCAGGCAAGGTGCTCTGCGCAAACTGGTCGGTGCAAGTTGGTCTGCGCAAGTTGCTCTACGCAAGTTGCACTGTGCAAGTTGCTCTGCGCAAGTTGCTCCGCGCAAGTTGCTCCGGCAAGTTGGTCCCTGCAAGTGGCTCCCTGCAAGTTGCTCTGTGCAAATTGCGCTCCCTGCAAGTTGCTCTGTGCAAGCTGCTCTGTGCAAGTTGCTCTGTGCAAGTTGCTCTGCGTAAGTTGCTCTGCGCAAGTTGCTCTAGGCAAGGCGCTCTGCGCAAACTGGTCGGTGCAAGTTGGTCTGCGCAAGTTGCTCTGTGCAACTTGCTCTGCGCAAGTTGCTCTGCGCAAGTTGCTTTAAAATGCAAGTTGCATCTTGCGACGCCCGCCCGCGGACCAGGGAGGAATCGAACCCGCGACCCGCCGGTTCCGGGAGCAGGCGCGCGAACCACGAGACAACTCCCGAGGACCAGTTCGAACAACAAAAGTCGCAAAAAACCTCGAGTTTTTGCACCTCGACCACACGCCGATTCCCGCAGTGCGCGAGCACCGCAGAAATCGCAAAAAAACCTTGAGTTTTTGCACCTCGACCACGCCGATCCCCGCAGAGGGTTGCGCAGGCACCGCAGAAATCGCCAAAAAACCATGGGTTTTTGCACCTAGACCACGCCGATCCCCGCAGAGGGTTGCGAGAGCACCGCAGAAATCGCAAAAAAACCATGGTTTTTGCACCTCGACCACGCCGATCCCCGCAGAGGGTCGCGCGGGCATGTTGGAAATCGCAAAAAACCATGGGTTTTTGCACCTCGACCACGCCGATCCCCGCAGAGGGTCGCGCGGGCATGTTGGAAATCGCAAAAAACCATGGGTTTTTGCACCTCGACCACGCCGATCCCCGCAGAGGGTCGATTTTCGTGTAGTGTCGTCGGCACTACCCCGCCGCCCTAAGAAGAGATTTTAACTCCTCGCAAGTCAATTGCACTTGACTCCTTGACTTGCAACTTGCACTTGACTCCTTGCTTGTTTCAAGGAGTCATTGCAAGGAGTCATTGCAAGGAGTCATTGCAAGGAGTCATTGCAAGGAGTCATTGTCATTGCAAGATTTCAGGAGTCATGAGAGCCATTGCAAGTTGCAAGGAGCCAAGTGCATGGAGTCAAGCGCAAGTCGCAAGTGCACGGAGTTAAGTGCAAGTTGCAAGTGCAAGGAGCCAAGTGCAAGGAGCCAAGTGCATGGAGTCAAGTGCAAGTTGCAAGTGCATGGAGTCAAGTGCAAGTTGCAAGTGCAAGGAGTCAAGTGCAAGTTGCAAGTTCAAGGAGTCAAGCGCAAGTTGCCATCCTTGCCATGACTCCTTGCAATGACTCCTTGCAATGACTCCTTGCAATGACTCCTTGCAATGACTCCTTGCAATGATTCCTTGCCATGACTCCTTGCAATGACTCCTTGCAATGACTCCTTGCAATGACTCATTGCAATGACTCCTTGCAATGACTTTCATGATGATGATTCCTTGCAATGACACCCTGTAATGACTCTCATGAGAACAACTCAAGTGAACCCAGCGGAAGAACCCTTCGCCATGCTTTCGGGAAAAGCGCCCTTCGCCCTCAAGCTTCTTGGTTTCCTCATGCGCGACTCTTCCGGAAGCTCTCGTCTCGCTCAGAACGGAGGTCACACCGTGCACCAGGCGCTTGTCAAACCAGGGGGGAAACTACGGATGGATGCGGCATTGTTTTCCAGGACTTGGATCCCCAAATGTTTTTGTTTTTTTTTGCCTGTTGCTTTGGCAAATGTTTAAAAAAACACCAAAGAAAAGTACCCTCACAAAGAAAAGAAAGACTCCCCCTCTGAGAACCGGCAAACCATCTGCGTAAATGTCTCCCCTGAATTTGTGCGAACCATCCCCGAGAAGGGGAAAAATGCTTCTGATTTTTGGGCCCCAAGTTAACCTGCAGGGAAGTAGAATGAATAAAGGAACTCCTTTGCTCATGCCATGCTTGTTTATAGTAAAGTAGATACTCCCTCATTTGCTCGTCCCCCGAAAACCAGCCAGTTTTGGTTTTGCCTTAAATCAACTTCGTCCCAGTTGGTGGTTTAATGGTTTGGTGGTTTCGGGGTGGTTTTCCGTTTACTCCCAATCCAAACCAATTGCGGGATACCCGATTAAGCCCATCCAAAACGGGGGGATCCCAATTTTCAGAAATTTGGCTGTGGGTCAAAATCCCGTACCCCACAGTGAACATCCCAATCCCCACTAAAACGGGTGGTGCACCTACCAACCAACATGGGATCCCGTTTAACGGTTTTGACAACAGCCAATTGTCCTTTCGGAACCGCCGGATCGGAGGCGCTTGAGGTCCAGCCGGAAGGTGTCGCAGAAGTGCAGACCTTTGCCCAAGTCCAGGTTCACCTTCGCTTCTCGAACCCCGATGGGCCTTTGCCGAAGTCACTCGCCATAGCCCCAAAAGTTGAAAGCGCATGAGCGCATGAGTTTTCTTTAGGTCAAAAGTAATTCAGGGACCTCTCTTTGCTTTGCGAGAAGCCATTGAGGAGATGTTGTGTTCTGGCTTCCCTTTTTTATCAACTCAACAAGTGGTCACCCTGGACAAAATGATAAGACATGTCCAGTCATGAAAGATTCTCAGTTGAAAACAAACAAGAAAAACAACAAATATTCTTACTCCCCATCTTAACATGGACCCAACAACCCATAGATTTGTAGAGGGGTTTACCCATTTGGTGGAATGGACGGCCTTTGTTGGGTTCCTTACAACATTTTGGTGATGGCAGCTTGCAGCTCTGAGCCGGCCTGGTTGTGCAGCTCGCACAACCTCGGTACCAAGTGCTGGGATCGGATGGTGGGGATCGTTCTCTTTTGGAGCT